TAAATAGCTTTTGCATCACGTTATCCAATTGAATACTATGCCATTTGAGATTGAGATTTTTTCACATTAGCCAAATCCCTTTCTCTGTTGGCCCTTCCTGTGTGAGCAAGCTTGTTCTAGGTCCTCATTTTGTTTCACCTACGCACAAAAGCGAGACAAGACCTTTTTGTCCGTTGGTCTTCCGACAATCAAGTCAGAGTGTATCTTTCAGATAGATAAGTCACTTCTTCCGATTTCTAAATAGAGAATGTCTCATTAAATGTTTACATTCTCTTTGTTTATATCCAAGGTAGTTCCGACATTCTTGTCAAAACATTTAATGCAATGCCTCTGCCAACGGACGTGCGCCTCGACATACATCTCAGCACATTCAGCGGGAAGGGCGCATGCTCCAGCCGGTCACCTTCAGTACTAGTATGGACAGACGCCAGCTTTGTCGTTATGCGCCTCTAAAGATGGACTTCTTTCCCCGTGTGGCCCGGAATTGGTTCGCATTTACTCAAACTGGGCTTGTCCTAACACTATTATCATTCCAATTGGGTATGGCTTGCTTGGACGGCTTCTAAACACCTCACAACCATTCAAATTATTAAAATGATCACGATGATGCATCGAACATACTCGAAGGTGTGGGGAATCCTGTAGTACGAGTTAATAAATATTTCGTTTAATACATATATATATAACACCAAACATATTTTATTCGTTTAAAACTTTCGTGTAATATTATTGTGAAATCGTTTCACTCGTTACCACACATATAAAAAACGATAACACGCAAAAACAACATCAGTTAATGACAAATTTGCAATTATATGAAATATTGTATGCATTTCTAGTAGTTTGTGCAAGAACTTGGTCTCCCAATATAATAATGGCTGTTTTTTTAGTATTTTGAATTTGCTGTTGTTAACCCTCTGTTTCCGAAGGAAGGGAGGAAAATGGAGGGGAGGGGAAGGGAATTAGGAGGGGAGGGATGATTAGGAGGTTAAGGAAATTGGAAAGAAAATGATGTTTTATAGAGGAAAGTGGGAAGGAAAATGTGTATTGGAAATTGTAATGGATATATTATTTTATTGGGTATGTAAGAATTGAATAATTTGATTATATTTTTATATTATTTTGATGGGTTGTGAATTGTGAAGATGGTGGAGGAGAGAGATGATGCAGGAGAGAGATAACAAAAAAGAAAAATAAAAAGGGCCAACTTTTTCTTCTTCTCTCTTCTTTCCCTCCAATTTGGAGGGATTGATGGTACAGTAAATTTTCTTTTCTTTTCCCTTCCCCCCTTCTTTCAGAAACAAGGGAAAGTGCATTGGGAATTTAATTTCCCTTCAAACACTTTCCTTCACCCCTTTTCCTCCATAAAAAAACAGGGGGTAAAGGCCTTTACATAAGTTGACTTGAGTTCCATTATTACAAATGCTGCGGCCTCTGTTAACTTTGACCCAATTTTCATTTGTTTTCACTTTGGTCACCTCCCCAAATAAAATATCCCAACTAATGTAAGTGGATTTGGGCCTGTCAGGTGTCAAAGGACTCAATTTACTGGTTAAAAGTGGGAATAAGCAGATTCTTTAGATAATCATCAGTTTCTTAAAGACCCACATGTTAGAGACGGCTCGAATTAATAAATCACTATTAGTTAATAAGCTCGGGGTGCAAATAGTTATTTTAATTAGACCGATGACTGCATGTTCGCGTACAACGTCCGATTCTTGCATGTTGCGACTTGCTACTATAGTAGTAGACGTGGGTATCTAATGTGGCGGGTTTAGCTGACTGTATGGGTTTGGTTGTTTTTTTTTTATAATTTAAATCGGGTGAATAAACATTTATGTTGGCCACGTTAGCAAAAAAATGACGGTGTTAACGGAGACCGACGGAAGGTAATGGAGACTAGAGTGACCAAATATGAACTATCAAACTAATTGTAGTGACCATTAACAAAATTAAGTATTTGTAGTGATCAAACATGAACCTTTTTAGTAATATGAAGGATCAATCTTGCAATTTACCCATTTTGAATTAAAACACTATGAGAATATGAGCGGATTACAGCCGATGAGAGCTTAAATCCCACACGAACAAACCGATATGGAATTGGAAGAAAAAGAAGAAAAAAAAGAGTGGAGAGTAGTACTGTAGTAGTATCATATCCATATCCTCCAATTAGGGCTGGAAGTTTGGTACTGATATTTGGGATATACCGAATACCGTACCGAATTTGTCTATATTTGGTATTACCGAATACACGAATTATTTTTTGGGATTGGGATTGGGATTGAATTTCATTTGTTATTCGGTATTAGGGATTACGGGATTGGGATCGGTATTATACCGAAATACCGATCAATACCGAAATATAAGCTAGTGTGTATTTTATCCTCTCAACTAAACTCTCTCATTCACTACTACACGACCCTCAACCACCAAAAGTGTCATTTAATTATACATAGTTCATTCCATCACTATTAATAGTCGTCTGTCAACCTCCAATTCGTCAAATTAAAGATTAATAATGACAAGAACTTGAGATGTCTCCTCTCCTCCATTCTCCTTAATAATATCCTAATTCAAGACTCTTTGCTTAGTCTTTTTCCCCTAAATTAAACAATAAAATATAATTAATATATTTAATTATTAATTGTAAAGGTAATTAATTTCGTATTCGATAATACCGATTGGGATACCGAAGTACCGATTGGGATACCGGTATATTTAGGGATTGGGATTGGGATACCGAAATTATTTAGGGATTGGGATTGGGATTGACTTTAGGGTGTAATTCGGTATTCGAGATTTCGGTATTTGGTATTGGGATACCGATACCGTACCGATTTCCACCCCTACCTCCAATAGTAATTCCTATCCAAGGTGAGCAGAAAAAAGGAAGGGCAAAAGGGGAAGTTGAGAAATAAGAAAAAACTGTCGGAAATCTGCAAAATCACAAAAAAAAAGGGAGGTGGGAGGCAGAAACGGTTTCTCTGATTCGTGGGACCCTTGGAACAAAAAGATAAAAGGCCAAAAATTCCCCCAAGGAAACAAATAAATAAATTATGGTTTCGGTGGGGTACGCCAGGTGTCAATAGAGAAGGATTCTTTCTCAGTTCTCTTCTCACCCGCATTTGAGCCGAGAGAGAGAGAGAGAGAGTTCTTCGGCAGGGGTCTCCTGTGGCACAACAGTCAGGCCTAGCGGGTCAGGATGGGGTTATTTGCATGTGGGATGGGGCTACTAGGCGGGGTTCCCATTCGGCGGGTGGTTTGGTGTTGATGACTCCTTCGCGGGAGGTTCTTAGGGCCAAAGGGGTCCAATTTCCGGTACTTGATGATCCCATGGTAGTGGAGCTGCTTGTCCTTCGTGAGGGTCTTCTCTGGTGTCTTGCGAGTGGGTGCATGGTCGTCAGGTTTGAAGGGGACGCTAAGGTGGTAATTGATAAGATCCTACAGGCTGATACTCGGGATAACAGGATGGGAGCGATTCTTGAAGAGGTGGTGATGTTAATGGCCAGTAATCCGGGATTTAGTGTACGTTTTGTAGGTCGGAGTGGTAATAGGGTAGCCCATTTGGTGGCTAGAAAGGCCCTTTCTTTGTACCCGACTACAAGTCGTTTGTTTGATTTTCAGGCCTGGCTTTTATCCAGGATGTAATTGCCTATTTTTGAATCAATATATGATTATCTTTTGTCAAAAAAAAAAAAAGAGAGAGAGAGAGTGTGTCAGTGTGTGTGGTCCTCGAAAATGGTAAATCAATTTTCATGCTCTGCCTAGTGCCTTGGCTTACAAGTTTAGCAGGCCTACCTTAGCTAATGAAACAAATAACCCATAGTCTCACAATTAGGGCTGCAAATTAATCGAGTCGAGCCGAGTTTTACCACAACTTGAGCTTGACTTATTAATAAACGAGTTGAGCTCGAACCGTTTATTAACGAGCCGAGTCGAGTCGAGTCAAGCTCGAGCTTAACTCGTATTTGATACTTTGTTTTGAATGTCATGTATGATACATGTGATTGATGTCACGATGAAAAATAAATAGTAATAGTCAAATATTCAGTATTAACTAGTCTCATATTATACTTTGTTGGTATCATATTATGTAGTTAAATAGTAATAAATTTTAACTAGTCAAAATCATGTTATTTAACAATATCAAAGCAATCTATGATATACAATTTCTTTTTAAAATAAAAAAATATTATATATTTGCTTACATACTCAGCGTGTTAAACTTCATATATGGTGAGATATATATTTTAACAGTCATATCAATTAAACTCATAATATATAGATCAATTCACCTATAATCCGATAATCTTGTTGGCTCTCTAGCCACAATATGAGACATTTCATGAGCCCTTAACGAGCCAGGTCACGAGTTTAGCTCAACAAGCCACCGAGTCGAGTTAGTTGGCGAGCTTCACGAGTTGAACAAGGCTTAGCTCATGCTTGGCTTGTTAATATACGAGTCGAGTTTCGAACGAGCTTTTCCCGAGCCGCTCGCAAGCAGCTCGGCTCATTTGCCACAACCTTCATCCCTGTGTGATATTTTTTCTCCAAAATTGTTCAAACCATGGATGGCGTTAGTTAACTAAATTTGGTTTAGGCGGTACCGGCTAGATTGAAATCATTCACAAATCAAAAGCTTCGTTACGGTGTGCACATTTTACTCCTCTAGGTTTTAATTTTTCGTAACAGGTTCTCTATTACAAATAAAGGGAATCTGGTGGAAGTGTTTGGGCTTGGAAAAAAAAAAAAAAGTTAACCATACTCACCCACATGCCCCCGCCACGTAAGGAATTGTGCATAAAGCTTTGCACCGCACATAATTCGTGAGAGAGAGAGAGAGAGAGAGAGAGCACGAGCGCTAGGGGAAATAGGGGTATGATCGTAAAGGAACGAGGGGAAATGGGGGTATGATCGTAAAGGAACGAGGAGAGAGAGCGCGCCACCCCCTATAAATACCAGGCAACAGCTAGCTGCTGCATAATATCAGACTCTCAGTCCACTCACTATTCGCCATTTCAGCAGCAGAAGAGAGCCCTGCCCTGATTCTTCTTCTCCGACGCGCGTGCTTTCTCAGTCGTCACCTCTCCGGTGAGACTCTACCGCTCGGCCTTCAACACATCCAGTTTTCATATACAATTATTTCTATCTTCAAATTCTAATTAAGTTGTTTTTTTTCCCCCAGAAATGCACTTCTCGAGGGTTTTGTTGGCCCGGCGCACGGTGTTGCAGCGGTCTCGGTCTCCACTGTCAGCTGCGGCGAAAGGCGGCAAAACGGACTGTGGAGCAACTCACCACCGCCACTGGGTGGGCTGCCAGAGCGCGCACGGCGGTGGACCGTATTCGCCTAATGCTGGGGCCATATATATATCTATCTATCTATTTTGTTGAGAGATGCTATGTTTATGTACCCACACTCTCTCAACCCAGGGTTAGGAAGCTTGTATGTATGTATGTATGTGTGCAAAACGTAAGTATATGTATGTATGTATGTAAAAATCGTCATTTTTTAGATCTGTTTCCCCTCTTTTATCCGCAATATAAACCCAATGCAACATCGATAACATAATTTGTGCTTGTCAATTGTCATTAACATCCATAGTCTGATGACCCATTACAGCCACAGTTATACCTTCACTGCTGGTACTCAATGTGAACTCCACAATACTTGATCAGCTTCTCGGCGGAGATACCAGTAATCTCATCTCCCGACACAACACTCTGCATACATACAACACAAGTGAAGAGGGAATTAATGTAGTTACAAGGGGGGACACACACACACACATACATCTCTGAGTTAATATACATACATACCTTGGTAAAAACTCTGAGTCTAGAATTGCAGCTCCAAGCCTCTGAGCTCTTGGGGAATTTTGGCTCCACAAGCTTCACGCTTTTGATCTTACTCTTCGCTCCATGCTCGGTAAGATAATCCCACACACTTGATTCAGAAGCTACCAGACCTATATATATTCGCAGGCAGCCGGAACAAACAAACAAACAAACGATGATTAGGAAGAAAGGAAGAGATATCTAGAGAGGAAAGCTTCTATATATTATCGGTTGGTTTGCATTACCATTGGGAAATAGTTCCCGAGCTTCGGAATTGGTTCCCCAGAAAAATCCTCTGTCCAAATCGAATATAATTGTATGCGATTCTGCAAGAGAGAGAGAGGATCTCGATTAAACAGTGGCCGGCCATGAACACAAGAATGAAACCCAGAAAAAGGGGCAACTAGGTCAGCAGATCCGAAACGAAATTACACCAGAGAATAAAAGCATACCACCGATGAATTTGAATCCCATTGACATGGCGCCCGCCCTTAAGAAATTGGTTCGGCAGCTCCGATTCCAGACTCTTTCTCTCTCGATCTCTTTCCTTTCCTGTAGGCTGTAGCCTGTAGCGGCCGTTCTTTCCCTCTTAATTGTATTTTGTATGTTTTATTTATACTGAGCGCTGCTGCCTCCTGGGCTAGGCTGAGACAGTGTATATAGATTTTGGGCTCAACTGGTCCATTTCAGTTTCCAGGGCTACAACGGTATACATATCCCGCACAAATAGGCCAATTCTACGGTGCCGCTATTAAAAGTGCGGCACCGATACCGCTATTTTCTATTGGGCCACGTCATGATCCATGTGGCAGGTTGTGTTCTCCGAATCTATGGCGAACAACCAAACGTCCAAACCTTACCCCAGTCGGTTACTTCGCCTCCAATCCAACCGAACCTAGGGAATCTCTTTATCCAATTTTTGTTATTTCATTTTTACGAAAGCAATATATTCCCTTGGCCTCCCTCTCCGTCGAATTGCACCGCCGCCGCCGGATCATGCAATCCCGCCATCGACCCCTCACTCCCTGCCCAGAAACGAATTAGTCATCCTCATCGACCCTCTTTCTACATCGAACTGCTGCTCAGCCACCAAATCCTCACGATCCCGCGCCAAACATCACAAAATTGTTGTTCATCTCCGTCGTCTCCCTCAGTCTTCAACCAGGAATGAATATGTCATCATCCTCGGTCTTCCGCATCGTCAAACTGTTGTGCGGCTACCAGATAATCTTCCTTGGGTCCCTATATCAATATGGTGCAATGCAGAGAAGCATCGACCTTGTAAATTGATGATGTATAAGAAGGTCGATGACATCATGAGTGTCTATCTGTGACAAGAGACTGGTAGGGGTTTCCCAAATTATATCCCTTACTCCATCAGCAAAAGTGCAAAACTCACTCTAGCAATTCAAGTGAAGTGTTTAATTACCTGAACTGTTGTGCTAAGAGGATTTATAATCGTCAAATTATACTCTAGTCTAGCCCTTAAGTTCAAGCATTAACCTCTTGCTTTCATTTGCTTTGTATCATATGCTTATTATCTTTCTGCAACTGCAACTCAACTCCAATCAAATTCTGGATGCAATAATATCGTGGGTCTTGAACCCTTTTCTGGTTCTTAGTCTGCCAGGATATCATTACTAGCTCATTCCTGCCACCATCCCCCATCTCGCCAATTTAGATTGAACTTCACACACTTTATTTCATTCCTGCTTTGTGTTGAGGTAATAAAGATCTATGTTTAAGATCTTTGTAAAGATACATGAATGAAAGGCAGACAATCCAAAACAAATCAGTTCTCCAATTCTCTAAGCACTAATCGTTCTTTTCCCTCTCAATTTTCTCTTGAAGCAAATATTTTTGTTGTCATCCACGGCACTACTGCTAGCCATAGCAATATCAGACTCGGATTTCCTTTTCTACAAGCTGCCATCTCGAACACTAGCTAGGCATTGCCTTCTTGCTTTGTACTGCCTGAAAGACTTGCTTTCTGCTCGTCTGATCACGATACTGGTCACCGGCCCCTTTCTGATGAAGTAATGAATTCCTATCAACAACTACAGTTATAGGGATTTACGAAGTAATGAATTCCTATTATCAACCAGGTCACCCCTTTCTCTACTTTAGTTTCTCAATCATCTCTCAAAAGGCGTTCAATAAAGAACTTCTTTCATTCACCAACAGTTACAGGGATTTACTTGGTTGAAGAGTTAACGAATTGAGATGCCATAGAATAGAAATGGGCGATGGAGTTCTGAAATTCGGCAAATCCAATGCTTGATGACGAACACTCTTGTTCCTGAATTGACGATTTCTAGGGAGACCACTGGTTGATATAATTGAAGAAGCTAGGGCCAAGTCTAGGGATTGGATTGGTACACAGAGTCATTCTCTCTCCCTAGCCTCGGTGGCTTCATATTCATCCGTCGATAAAAGGGCCTCACCGTTTTGTTTTGTTTTTGCGTGCGATCGTGTGGATCGCTAGCGGCGGAACAATTTGACAGAGAGTCAGAGACAAGACCCAAGGGATGACGGATTCATTACCGGTCGGACGGTGAGGGAGTGACGGCGAGATCGTGCGGATTCGGTGGCGGCGCTGCAGTTCGACGGAGAGGGACATCCGAGGGGAACACGACGGCCGACGCTTCATTGCTTTCTGGACCTTTTTCTATTTAATTTTGCCCCAAAAAGAATTATATTCCGCAAAATAAAGAGATTCCCTTGGTTTGGTTAGGAGGGTTTAAACCGACCGGGTGAAGCTTTCCACATTACATTTTGAACTTGGTTCCATAACCAAAATTGCCACATGGACCATGACGTGGCCCAATAAGAACTGGCTGCACCGGTGCCGCACTTTTAATGGCGGCACCATAGAATCGGCCGCACAAATAAGGAAAAAGGAGAAACTGAATTGTTCACTAGGCCCGGTGAGCCGGGCATGTGACCCAATTGGGGGCGTTAAGGTGGGTCGAAGGCCCAGATGAGCTAGTCATCCGATTTTTCTTTTCCAAAATCGTACTCAACGGTACCGCAAGTTTGACCAGAATTTTTCTTCTTCTTGTAGGCTAAATCGCTAGACGGTATGAACAGTTAAATCAAGATTCTAATATAAAAGTATAATTCTTAGTTTCAATCTTGGTTGGACGCACAAGCTTCAATCAACAGTTTTCTATTAGTGAGGTTATTTTTTATATATTTTAATTCCTGATTTATTTAGTATAATTAAGAAATTTCATGTCTTAGTACCAAATCTGTCTTGACCTTACCAACTTGGCCAGCTACCAAGTATGTCTTACTTCCAGACTTATTTTTTAGATCCATATTTCATACCAACGGACTTGTTACAAAGGAGAGGCGACATCAGTTATAGAGGCCATTGGGGCGAGCGGACACAACAGGAAGGAGTTTGGCCACTTATGGTTACGATAGGGTGCATAATCAGAGATTTTGCATCCTTCCATAACTAGATTTGAACCATTAGATTTGTCTAAGGGGTGAGAATTAATGGCTTCTTATTTTTCTAGTTTTTTTTAATCGGCTCTTATTTTCTCCATTCTAATTTTGATTTCAATTTTTTGTTCACAACTGGAATGATTTTGTTATGATCTACAAAATGAGAATTTCAAAATATTTCGAGAAAAAAATTCATGCCACTCGTTACCACCTTCATTTTTAACTCAAAATTTGAATTTTTTTGCACAGGTGGAACGAAATCTTCATATTCTATTGGATCTACAAATTTTAGGGGGAAAAATACAGGACCTAAACGTACCACTCCATACTACCCTAGTATTGTGGTAGTAACTAATGGTACACAATGATGAATGTGGTAAATGACAGTTCTTATATTCATATTATCATGTACTCAACCATTATACACTATTAGGGGTGGAAATTGGTACGATATCGGTATCCCAATACCAAATACCGAAATCCCGAATACTGAATTACACCCTAAAATCAATCTCAATCCCAATCACTAAATAATTTTGATATCTCAATCTCTAAATATTTCGATATCCCAATCGATATTATCGAATACAAAATTAGATAAATTTATAATTAAGTAAAAAAAATAAATTTGATTGTTTAATTTAAAGCAAAGAGACTAAGGATTAAGGAAGGAGTTTTTCCTAGAGCTAGGTCATTTGATTGTTTAATTTCCTAGATACTGACCTAGATTCTTTTAGTGGGATTACGAGTATGTGTGGCATGTGAGCTGGCCGCTAGCTACCTTGTATCAGTCGTATCTAAAGAGTATTGTTTGGCTTTGTATCATTATATGGGCCGTATAAAATTTGGTAATGGGTTATGTATAATTCAGTTGGTAATTAAGGGCGGGTAAAAAATGTATGAGAACTGAGGAGAGATTAGTTTGGAGGTTAAAATGCATCACTCTTTTATATTATTTTCGGTATATACCGATCTCAATCCCATAATTCCTAATACCGAATTACACTTGAAATTCAATCCCAATCACAATTCCATAAAAAAATTAGTGTATTCGGTAATACCAAATATCGGCAAATCCTATAAATATATGACAGGTCCATACAACCATGGTACACTTCAGTACCACGTACGTGTTATGATTTTTTTGTAGTTCCAAGCATTACCGCCATGGTATAGACAGGTACTAAATGTCTCAAATATTTTTGTTCAAAAAATATATAAAATTGGATATAATTTTGAAAAACATAATTTATCTGTGCAAAAAAAAAAAAACGACTTAACACGAAAGAGATATAGCCCGTTAAAATTTATAGGAAAATGGTTAGAGACCTTCTATAAATAGTGATATGGCAGTGATGTGGCAAGTTATGCATGGTTATTGACCCGCCCCCTGTAAAATGTAGGACGAGTAACCACACCTGTCATAACTTCCACTCCTACTCTGAATCAATATATATATATATAGGTTGTTTGTGGGACGGGCGGGTGTAGTTCGGACCAAGGGTAATACCTAGGCTTAGGGATAGCAAAAATATCCGAAACCATGGATATCCCCCCGAATCTGACCTAATCATGTAGGGTAAAACTTGAACCCCAAAAGATTTTTGGCGGGTACGGGTAAAAACCAAACCTAATATTTATGGGTACCGGGTGAGCATGATTTTGTCACTATCCAATCCGAACCCATCCGATTATACACATGCATATGTATATTGTCTTGCAATGATCATTATTTTTCTCAAAATACATTATATTTAGCATACAAATATAATGTTTTCATGAAATTGTGTTGTTTTTAATTAATTTTCTTCATTCTTGTGATTTATTGTTGTACTTTTTCCCTTCTATAATGTGAGTATACGTGTGAACGTTAACATGTTGGTTGAAGTTATAAAGAGAAACTATTACCCATGTATAACCGTGGATACCCAAAACCTAAATGGGCATGGGCATGTTTTGATTTTCTACTCAATTCTTCTGTGAGCATAAGTAAAATCCGAATGACTTTGGTTAGGGCAATGGATATGCACTATTTGACCGACCCGATGCCATCCCTACTCAGGCTTGTCCGGCCCTCTACACGGACCCGCCCATTAGAAACGGGCTGGGTTGGACCTGCCCAAAACGGGGTCGGCTGGGTTGCTTTTAGCCTTTTACCATCCGGTGGTATTTACTATTTATTTTTAGTTATTTAGTAAATCCTTTTTAACTTTTCCTTATTTGTGCAGGGTTAGGACTTAGGACCAGCATATAAAAAGGGAGTTGCTAAAGGTCGCCCTTAAAATTGCTAAAGATCGCCCTAAAAAGAATCAAAGTTACACTGTTAACCTCCTTACCTTCTTTACCTTCCCTTCCTCAAACAAACATCACTTGGACTAAAAAAACACTATCTAAGGAGAGAAAAATCTCTCATCTTTTATTTATTTATTATTATTAACATTTATTTAACGAATAATAAAAACACAGAATTTAAAAAAATAGAATTTAAAAAAAAAAATGGGCGGACCGCTGTCAAATCGCGGTTGGGCCGACGGTCAACCGCGGTCAACGCGCGGTTCGACCAGCGGCTGACCGTCGGCCCAACCGCGGTTTGACTGCGGTCGGTATCCCAAACACCCCTTCTCCGGCGAGGCTGGTGGGCGGAGAGGCGCGGGCGGCGAGGGACGGCGGCGAGGCTGGCACGGGCAAGGGCGGCGGCGAGGCTGGCGACGGGAGCGAGTCGACGGCGACGGGAGGACGGCAAGTCTCCGGCGCGACCTTCTTCTCCGGCGGCGAATTGATTGCAGAGGGGGTGGGGGGTGCCGGCGGAGGATTGATTGCCGGCGGGAAGGGAGTTTGCAGAGGGGGTGGGGGTTGCCGGCGGCGGGTTTTATTTGCAGAGGGGGAGGAGGTTGCCGGCGGCGGATTGATTGCAGAGGGTGAGAGGAAGGGAATCGCGTGGGAAGGAGGGTGAAGGGGAAGGGGAAGGGTTGTTTGGCTGGTTCATTTTTTTTAATTTTCATTAAGGGTATTTAGGTAATTTGACTTTTAAGTTAGGCGAGGTTTAGTAATTCTTAGGGCGACATTTAGCGATTCAGTATAAAAAAAGAAGAGTGGAGAAGGAATCAACGGCCGCCATAGGAAGGAAAGAGATCGAGAGAGGGAAGAATCCATAGAGTCGATCGGAGCTCTCCAACTTTGGTGATGGGGCGTGGATTTGAGTTTTACTTTGGTATGTTCTTCCTGTAATTTTTGTTTGAATGTACAGAGTTCGTTTGCTTCGCCTTTTCTGAGAACTAATAAAGCGCTTATTTTCCTCGAATCTGGAAGTTTCAAGTTTTGATTGTTGTTTTCCTGCTGGGTTCTACGTGATCGATTGTGTAATCAAGCCTATCTCTCTTGGCAGGACCATTCTCATTAACTTATACTTTGGGGAAAGGATTTTCCTGGCGAACCGACTTCGGACCTCTGGATCGAGCGCCTAATGGTAACAAAAACCCTATTTTGCATGTGTTCCTCTCTGCCCTTTTACCTGTTGGTCTTGGTTAAGCTTTTCCTGTCTATCACTTTTCTATTCGCTAAACAGTTGCTATTTTGTTGTGTTAATCCTCGCTAGCTCTGGTATCCTCTGAAAAGGCTGTCATGGACTACTTCACTGAGTTTGGGGTTCCGAATCAGAACATCAAAACTGTTAAGCTTGTGAAGCCCAAATTCCCCAAGGACCCCATGGCGCGGTACTGCAATACCATCCTTGAAAATTTTGCAGAGGTATATATGATTCGCGACATGTATGGGATGGTAATGTGTGTATCTATGTGCAATTTGTTCAGTTTGTGTGTTAGTCTCTCTCACTCCATTTCCTTATTATGCACGCAGTCTCTCATGGATGACGGAAGCAGTCTCGAAATCTTGCACGAGAAGCTGATCCAGTATTGTGGAGTTGAAATTGAGTATCAGCAGGGAAGGTAATCAGGTTTCCAGGATTTGATAATGTACAGGGTGTGTTTATTGTCCCTTAGTTTACTCTGTACGCATGTTCTTATTACTATTTTGGAGTTGCTGTGATGGAGTTTGATCCATTGTTAATGTATGTAACTATGTATGGATGTACTGGCTGAGACTCCTGTGAATAACAAGTATAAGTTATGCATTTCCCATATTTTTCACTGTATGCATTCCGCACGTCTAGCTTCTTGTTGATTCTACATTGGGTTCTACTTTGAAAGACATGGGTTGGACACAGAGCCTAGGTACGAGGCTATGTTCTTTTGTGGAAAATTGCAATAGCAACCCAATTTAACTTGTTAGAGCTGAGACCTGGAAATTGTGAGCAGAATCGCGGATAAAGAGCGTGTTTGCTAAATTCAAGCTACGGCTAACAACACGAAGTACTCATTCTCATTAAAGTGAAAACATAATCAACCCTAACTCCTACGCAGCTTCACCACCTTCGGTAGAAGTATACATGATCCGAGCTCTGTAAATGAAATCTGCACTAGTTAACTTAAGAAGTGGGTTTCTTTTTCACTCCAATCGCGATACCCTGCGGGGTTGAGAACGACAATGGCAATTTATCGAACACTTGGTGTGCATTTGCTTTGCTTTTGCATAGTTCGACAGCCATACTGCTCCACCTCTATTCGTGGATTTGCTGGAGACGTGAGAAGTGCCCATCAGGCAAATTGCCGCTGGCACGGAGAACTCGGTTCACCAACCATGCACTCGAGCTATCTGTCTATTTTGGACAAGCGATTGGTTATTGGCTCCGATCATGAGACAAGCAGCTTCGATTGCGATTTCAAATGTTTTACACCGTGTTTGACAACTATGGGTTAAACTGCTTGGGGGTGCAAGTTGGTGGGGTGTAAGTGGAGAGGTGAATTGCTGCTTAGATGAAAAAGAAAGGGTGCAAATTAGTGAAAAGTAAGTACATTATATTATTATATATTAGATATATCAAATTAATACAAGATGTAATAATCATTGGTCGAGCGACCTCGAACCTCGAGATCCAACTTGTAATTGGTCATCCTACAGAATTCTCGTGCCTAATTTAACCATAATCAATGTGAAATCGATATATCATATTCACGTTCAAATATGTAAGTTAAACCAAGTCAACCAAGCGATCTCGATTTGACCACACAAACTTTGACAAACTTTCTCAACATAGGTTTTTACATTAATAATTTCTCATCCATCCTCCCTCACTTGCTCACCGTAATCAAACGATGACCCTCACAACGTCCACATTAACGATAACGATAATGACAAATAATAATTATTAATATGTAATTATTATAAAAAATTATTCTTATTGCATAGTAGTACAATTATCATGATAAATATAATGAAATTGTTATTTAACATAATTTTATCCATAAAACAATTTAAACGTAAACATAATAATAGTAATAATACACATATCATTTTCATTTTCAATAAAGAGACCAAGGACAACAGTATGAATGGCTTCCACCCAGAAGGCAGGATGGACATAGGAGTGAAAGAGCAGTGCACGGGTCAGCTCAAGAACATGACGATTCTTCGTCTCGATCAGTCCATTCTGATGGGACACACTGGGACATGACTGCTGAGGAAGAATACCCTTTTCACGGAATAGGGCTTGTAAGGGATGGGAAGAGAACTCACCGCCAGGGTCAGAGTGAAGAATGAGAATAACCTTGCCAAACTGCGTTGAAACCATCTGCATAAAGTCCCGAGCAATCTCAAACAAATCATATTTCTGTTTGAGAAAGTAAACCCACGTGAACTTGGTAGCATGATCAATAAAGAGAGCAAAGTAGCGAAACCCCAACCGAGGTGTCACTGGCGATGGACCCCAGAGATGTGTGTGGACCAATCAAACGGTTTAGAGTACTCTGTGGAAATAGGATGAAAAGAGCGATGAGAGATCTTAGCTTCCACACAATGCACACACTCATGATCAAGAATAGAGCGAATAGTACGCGACAACCAGTTTCTCTTAAACTATCAAAAGACATGTTTTATGGGGGTGGCCAAGTCTAAAGTGCTATAAATCCCAATCCGTCAACTTAACTGAGTAACCACAAGTGTCTAAACTAGAAGAAGATGACAAAACATCAACAACAGGTGCACAATCCCCTCCCTGAAGTTTGCGACTAGCATGCCCGGTGTCCCCTACGAGCGTACCACCATGATCCACAACCGATCCACTTCTAGGTCCCACTGGTGGCTGGTAACTGTCAAGGAGGAAGATCAGACCTCTCTTACTCCCGCGGCTGATCTCCACCCCCGTGTTTATGTCCTGCACATCACAACCATGAGTATCAAAGATGACTCGACACCCATTCTCAGTCAACTGTCCCACTAGGGCTGTTAATCGGTCTCCGGTTTTCCGGTTAACCCGTCAACCGAACCGAAACCGTCGGTTTGATGGCCAACCGAAAACCGAGAATGGGCTGCGGTTAGCGGTTGCGGTTGCCTGTTTCCAGCTTGGTTCAGAGTGTAGCGGTTAGCGGTTAAAAACCGCAACCGAACAGACTAACCGCCAAAACCGACCCAATCAGTCAATTCGGCGTCGTTTCTCTTTGGGCGACCTCTTCTCTTCTCGGCCACCCAGTGCTCCGCCTCCCCTGACCTAATTCTAAATCCCAAATCGAAGACGAAGGAGGCGAGGCGATATCAGAAAGAATCTCAGCCGCCTCTCCTCCGCCTCCCCATTTCTGAACGGCTGAACCCTAGCCTCGCCGTCGAGCGCCATCCTCCCGCTCCCGGCCTTCTTCGCGTCGCCATCCTCCCGCTGACCAACGCTGCTCCGCCTTCTTCCCCCATCTATTCCGGCGGCGGTGGAGATGAGAGTGGAGAAAAGCCCGGGGCTTTGCCAGCAGGACAATCAAATCCTCTATGGCGTCGAGATCAATTAGCCGAGCACCATGCATGTCCTCCGCCGATGGACCCCTACCGAAGTTGTCGCCTCTGCCGATAAGAAAGCGATGACGTCAAGATCCAGCCACTTTTGGTTTCGCTCCAAGGCAAAGGAGAGAAGGTAGACCAGAGAAAATCGATGGAAGGATTCAGAGCGGAGGAAGAAGTCGACGGGAATTGATGATTTTCTTGAAATTTTGGTGAGGGTAGAGGGTGGCAGAGAGAGCTTGCGATAGGAATGGAGAGATTAGAGAGAGGGGTTTTCTTTTGGAGAGAGGATAGGGTAACAGAGAATGAGATGGGGAGAAGGATCGAGAATGCTAGAGGTAGGGCTGTTAATTTCTATTTTTGTTTTATATTTTTTTGGAATTTTTATTTTTCTTTTCAATTAATTTCCGGTTGATAGTCAACCGACCAACCGAACCGACACCGACGGTTAGCGGTTTCGGCTAACCGATTGGACAATCGGTTGCGGTTGCGGTTGGCTGTTTTGACCTCTAATAGGTGTCGGCTAACCGACCCGTCGGTTCGGTTTAACCGCAACCGAACCGATTATCACCCCTATGTCCCACAGAGATCAAATTAGGCACAAGCTTTGGAACAAAGAATGTATGGGTAGAGATAAACGAGAACTATGAACATGACCAAGACCCTCAACATCAATAGTAGAACCATCGGCCACCTGTAAACGAATACCAGAACGTGGCCGAAGAGAAGAAAAAACAGAGCGAGCACTAGTCATACGATTCACTGCAGCTGATTCAAGATGCCAGGTGGAAGAGGAAGAGAAACCCATACCCGTGGAGAAGGCAGCCGTGAGAGTGGAAGGAAGAGACTCCCGAAGAGCCTCCCTCACCAAATGACGAATCTCAGCTGATGACACACCGGAGGAGCTGGATACCCCGTCGGCCGAACAAAAAGAGGGAGCTAGTGTAGTAGCATAAACTGGACCCGAGGAGACGCGGCCAGCCTGAGGACGAGGGCCTCTACCAGCCGATGAGGGCCTCCACCAGCCCATGAACCACCCGACTGCCCACGACCACGACCTCGCTGAGCTAGGATCGGACACTCACCAATAACATGCCCAGCAGCCTTACAGTAGTTGCACACTTTGTGCTTGGGACACTTGATTTGAATGTGACCATGTTCTTTGCAATGGTAGCAAATAATCTCACCAGATGGAGTCCGACCGAATTGTGGGCGGCCATACTGGACAGCAAAGACAGAACCCGACTCGGAGGACGAGGTAATCTCGTTCTTCCTTGCCTCTTCCAGATTCAACTTCAAGATCTTGGTGAGTTCTCTGATTGAGAGCTCGAAATTGGTCGAAACCATGGTACGAGTGCCACAACCGGACTCTGATACCACTGAAAGAACCCCGCTTCTAGGGATTCTAGGGACTAATCTTCGGCACCCGTAATTATCGTAACAATTAGGGATTTAGGGGTTGAGAGAAAGAATTAGGGATTTAGATGAGAAGAACATAATAGAATTGGGAATCGGCCGAGGCCTTAGATTAGGAGAGAATAGAAATTAGGAGTTGAGAGAATTAGATTTAGAAGGACACTTTGCTTAATACTTTTCTTCATTCCTTATGACGTAAACCCAAAGTATATATTTATAGGGTAACTGCAGGAAAATCCTAATAACAATCCTAATCCGATTAAATCTCTACTAACCATAATTATGATTATCCTACCTAATATAATAATAAAAACCCTATTAGGGCGGGTATCTGACACTTTCCCACCGTCTATGAGAATCAAGAATATTTGTCAGATTCTATCCCTCCATATTTTGTACTCATTACTCAAACTCAAGGATTTTGTGTAAGGCATACTTTGGAGTCTTATAGTTTTAATAGAAGTAATGACACAAATTACTCAAACTTGAGGCTTTTGTGTAAGGCATACTTTGGAGTCTTATAGTTTTAGGGTAATAGAAGTAATGACACAGATTACTCAAACTTGAGGCTTTTGTGTAAGCCTTGCATGTAATTTTGTTTGGAGTCTTTTAATTTGATACATATAGAAGTAATGACACATTCAGAATTAGCCATTGGAAGAAAAACAATGATCATTTTCCTTCAATTTTTTTTTGGCAAAAGATAGCTTGTATTACCAAGAAGCAAAGATCACAAACGATTACAACTCCGAGCGGAGGCAAACGCAAAAATCAAACCCACCGATACGAGTAGGATACAAAGAAAGGGCCTTCCTAGCCACCCTATGGGCTACCCTATTGTTATCC